TATATATTTAAGATTATATAAAAAATTTGAAAGTCTCTGTTACTTAATCACCTTATGAGGCATAGTGATTTCAAAGTGTGTGGTTTTTTTTTTGAACTGTATTTGTATAACGAGTAGACTCAAGGATTTTTATTAGACTTTAATCATGATATAATTGTGAGATTGATATAACATGAAATTGTTAAAAAAGAGTTTGCAGGTTCTTATACCTGCAAACTCTTTTTTATCTCAAAATTATAAATACCGTTAAGTCATTGAACAACAATGTTTTGATGTTAGATAAATTTGATAGTGGTAAATTGGAAAAAAAATTACTACTATCAAATTTATCTTGCATCAAAACATTTTAATTTTCTTTTCTAAAATGATCCGAATCATTTTAGAAAAGAAAATCAAAATAAGGACTTTAAATAAGATACTAATTGGTGTTACACAAGTTTTTACTGAGATGAAGAAAAGGTCATTGAAAATTTGTTAAATCCTAACCAATCAAAAAAATATCAATTTAACCAAATTAATTTTTTGTTAAAAATATTAAAATCATTTGGTGTTGCTCAAGAAAATTTGCAAAAAGATCAATCAAAAAAGAGGGACACTGTTAAAATTTTTAAAGAGCTGATAAACATGTTATCTTTTTTATCAATTGAAACAAAATATATATTCATTGAAAACTAGATATATTTAGACTGTTAGTGATGCTCATTTCTTTGCAAACATGCTAGATCCTAGATATTTTGTATCTAATCTTTTTGAAAATGATTAGGCTTTAAGAACATGTTACCCATAATATTCAAGTTGAAAGCAAAATCTGCTTGATGCGATAAAAGCTATAGGGAGAGAGCTTTTGCCTTAAATTTAGGCCCATGTCTTATGAGCCTTATAAAAAGTGGGCTCTATTTTTTTTCTGTAATATGCTGAAAAAGCATTGTCAAGATATATCTAAAAAAAAAAAATTATGACATAATAAAAGAAGTAATATCATATGGACTCTGGTCTATGTCAACATTCTCAATAAAAATTTTTTAGCTTTAACTAAAAAATTGGAATTGGGAAAATAGTTTATCTTCCAACAAGACAAACTACATGTTCTTTCAAATATTGTTTCCTTGTTAATTAATATTTCTGTTGAGTGTCCATTTAGTACAAGTGACCATAAAAAAACATGAGACATTAGTAAAACAAATAAAGGTAAAATATAAAAACAAACTATAAAATAAATAAAAAAAGAATATAGGAAAATTTTTTTTTTAAATAAGATCCTTTTCATCAAAAAAAATAATGTTTTCATGAATAGATAAGAAGACATCAATAAAAAACATGCACAGTGAAAAGGTTCTTCCACAAATTTATTGTAACTACTTATTAGATACACTCCCTAATTCAGTGATTATTGTTGATTATTATAAAAATTATTAAATGCAATTTAAAGTATTCACAAAATCCAAACTGACAATAAAGTATTATTCTGACATGGAGAATAATAAACACCGTCACAGCAGCAAATTATTTTAATATTTTTCATGTTCTGCTGACTGAAATTTTGATGGTGTTTAGTGTAAAAACAGAATGTACACCTTTTTCAACAAAAATTTTTTATAAATATAACTTGTAAATGTAGTTTAGTATTTTCCACTTCTTACTTTAACTCCAGTGTTAGTCTATAATAATTTAAAAATTATAATAATTTTTTGTTAGACTAACTGTTAGTCTAGCATGAAATTATTTAAAAACAATAAAAAATAAAAAACACCTTACTTATATTTAAAATAGCTTCTATAAAATTAACAGTCTGTCAAGAATCAATGCATTAACTACAAAAAAGAATATGTTTTATTAAGGAAAACATTAAAAAATTAAACTTTAGTAACTTTAAAAACAGATAAAAAAATTAAAAATTACATTCTATTTATAAATAGAAGTTTATTCAAAAATTATATCACTTATGATAATTATGTTGTAAATTTCACACATATGTTTTATCTAATGGTAATTGTATTAACATGTAGCTTAAAATGTTTATAGTTTTCTACAAAGGAAACGACAAAATCTAATTTAATGAAAATGTGCATTCAAACTATGGTTTTATGTACTAAGTTGAGGCGGCTAAGAAAACTTATACAAATGAAGTTAAAAATTAAGAATATTTAGTTTATTTAGTTCTTAACATAATGTTTTAACTTTTTATTATGGTTATTTAGTTAGATTATTGTAGTTTATATAAAGTTAATGTTATACTATGTGTTTATAATATAAAATTGATGATACTTGTTTAATATTTAAAGTTTATATAAAAATAAAAAGGAAAAAAGTGCAGTTAAAACTGCATTTTTTTATTGAAACAAGGCGTATTTATTTTTAATGTTGTTTTCTATGCAGAATTAAATTAAATTGATGAAAATTGTTATTAGTGTCCTATATGGTACTAATAACAATTTAATACTAAATAGTAATAATAAACAAACTTTTTCATCGAAGAGACAATTTTTGGGATCAATTTTTTAAAGATTTAATTAGCTCAGCCAATTGTGTGCCTTTTGGTTGAAATGTAATAAATCATGAATTTTTAAAATAAATATGGATATGATGTGATTCAGTTGTAAAACATTGTGAACTTGTATTTGTAAAATAAAAAAGGGTTATGTAAGTTATATGAATAAAAAATATGCTTAAAAAAACATTACATTACATAATTACAAGTAAATTTGATGGTTTAATCAAAAAAAAAACATGTTTAAATCAATATATTTATACATTTAAAGGAAAAAAAAAACGTTAGGTAAACTCCGTGAAAGTTATAAAATATTTGAGGTAAAGTTCAAGAGTTGTTAAAGTAACGTTTGCAGTGAATGTTATGTCAAAGTTAGCTGTTTGTTATTTGAACATTTGCTGTGAATCTTCAAGAGCTGTAAATCAGAGTTCACAGTAGTTGGCGACATATGTTATACAAACCTAATCACTTTTATTGAACGTTAACTGTAAGCCGGAATTAAACAATTTTCTATCACTTTTACGGGACATTCATAAAACGAGCTTGAATTTATTTTTCAGAAGCTGGCTTATTTGAAAATAGTCAACAAACATTTAAATTTAAAGACGAAATTACATTTTCAGGTACAACTCTTGCTGCCTTATGATTGGTAAAAATTCTTGGTATTACTTTAGTTTTAACACTCTTTGTACCAGCACATAAAGAATGTTGTTAAATGCTGAAACTACCATATTCGCGCACTTCATTATAGTATTTATATGTTCATTATTATTCGTTCAATTAATTTTGCAGCAAAAGTGCTGCAAATATATATATATATATATATATATATATATATATATATATATATATATATATATATATATATATATATATATATATATATATCAGGCCTTGTTAAGAAGCGTTATGCAGCTCGCATTTTACCTGCGAAAAGGCAATTTGCCTACGTGTTCAGCAGTTTTGCGTTACGCAAAAACTTTAATCTTTTAGAATATTTAAATTTTCATTTGATATCGTTTATGTGACGTTTATTCAGAGTAAAATAAAGTCGTAAGTAAAAGCATTTAACCGCAATTGTAAACTAATATATTTTTTGTTAAAGAAAATTTTTTTAAATTATTTTTATTGTTGTTGTTGTTGTTAAAAATTAGTTTAAAAAAAATAAGTGTTTTAAGTTTAAACTTTTTATCATATTTAATTTTAAGTTTTATATTTCATAAGTTTAAAAACATTCAAATTAAAATAAAAATAAAAATTCAATTTATTTTATTTAAATATTTTTTTATTAATTACAGTTTTTAATAAATAAATTTATTAAATTAACTTAAAATTCTTTTATTTAATTTTAAAATATAGCATTTAAAATTTTTTAATTTTAAAATGCTCCGTTTTACAATTTGTTTTTTATGATAAAATTTCCAAAGTAAAAAAAGATTTAATAAATTTAACTCAAGTAACTTTAAATTGTTTGTATTACATATAACTTTTTTTTAATTTCAATTAAGTTTCATGTAAGTTCCAGTTCCAAATACTGGTCTGAATAATGCGCTGAACAAAAGCACATTATTTTCCAGTTTTTATTTTTCCATTATTTTACAGTTTCATTCATGATTTACAGAAGCTTGTTATTCATTTTATAACTACAAGTTAATAACGTCAAAACAAAAAAGTTCTTTTAAACTCGATTTATAAATGTTTGGGTTTTCCCTTTGCCGTTTGCCGAAGAGTTTTTTTTATAAAACTAACCAAAATTCAAACCTATTAAAAATAACGGGATCAGTAAATAAACTCTTTAAAAGCCCAACTTATCTTTATTTTATTTTAAAAACAAAACTAGTACTAGAGCTATAAATATAAGATACATAAATTTCAAAATTATAATGATATTTGTTAAAAACAAATTCTGCTTATAACATCTTAAAACCAAAAAGACTATATTTTTTTTTTAGATTGAGTAAAAAAATATTAGGTTTCACTTTATAAAAATAAAATATTTTAATGGAAATGAAAAAAAAAAAAGATGAAAAAGCAGTAAATTTTGTTTCTTTACAACATTTATTTTATAGTGCAAACGCTTTTTTAAAAGGGGAAAACCCAATCTATGCGTTTAGTTATAAGTTCATTTAAATCCCTTTAAGAAAATCATCCATAAACAAGTGTTGAATTTGAATTATTTAAAAAAAAAATATTAAAAAAAAAAACAACCATAAAACGAATGTTTAAAAGCAAAAAATTAAGTTTAAATAAGTGTAAGATTTTGATACAAGAAGACTTTTTTTTAATCAACATTAAAATTTTTTTTTTTCAACAATATTGTTCAATTTAAAGCTATTTCGTTTCAAAGACTAACAATAGTTTTTTATGTCGTTTTAAATTTAATTACAATGAAGTAAAAACGCAACTGACGTAGTTTAACTTTTAACAATGTAAATATCTTTATTGAGTAAAGTTACATACATATATATATATATACTTATATACATATTTCAAATTTTGCTTTGTTTTTTAGTATAAATGGATGAAGTCCTACGAAATCCAGTATTTCAAATTAAGTTGTCTGAACTACTTGGTCAGGATTGGTTTAAAATTGGTATTTACTTAAATATCGAACAGCGTAGTTTAGAATCAATTAAGATTGATTCTATAAATTTTTCAAAACAAGAATGCAAAGCATACGAAATGTTAAAAAAATGGTTCAATTTTGATGAAAAACCGACATTTGAAAAGTTAAAACTTGCCATTTTAAATATTCCGAAAATGGATTTATTGAAGGAGGTGGAGGATCTTGCAAGTACACATTTTTTAAGTTATTATTTGTATTATATAATTTTTTCTGATTTGTCACTCTTATTATATGTTTATTTTTTTGCTATTATTTTAACTTCCTCATCAAACTCTCTGCTTTTTTTAATTATTTTAAATGTTACTTTTTTTTTTTTTTTTTTTTAAAAAAGTAACATTTAAAATAAGTAAAAAAGTACCAACCTGACAATTTGAACTAATTTTCGGAATATAATGATTTGTTATTAATAAAATTTTTTATTTGAAGATGAAATTCTAAGCCACTTTTTATTAAAATGGTACAGCTATGTTTTCTGCAAAAAAAAATTAGTAAATAATTTTTTCTATTTTATTAACTCAAACCTTGAAATGAAAATTTCAAATATTTTGAATTTAAATTACAGAGAAGTATTTAGTATTGTTAAAATATTAAAAATTTTTGTTGTTTTGTTTTTATTTAAAAAGCAATTAAAACCATTACTATTTTAGGAATTTAAACTAGGTAATTTTAATGAAAAACACTGGATAATTTGAGCATGCTCATATTACACAAAAATGTCATCTTTAAATAAAGTCAAAACTTAAAGTTTCTACCTATTGTTTTTTAAACAAAAATGAATTGGATTTTTAGCTAACATATTTTTCTTTATAAAAAAAATTAATTTCATTATTTCAACACCAAAATTTTTTCAAAAAAAAAAAAATTATTATAGTTGTAGATGAAAATGATAATGATTATAATAGTAATTTTTTAATAAATTATTTTATTTTAATATTATTTTTTAACTTTTGAATAGTGTTATAAACCAATTCAAAATATATTTCTGTTTATTTAACCAGGTGGGTTTTTCACTATGTCTTCATATTTATCAGAAGGTGTTTCGAAAACAGGTATTTTTTAATTAAATGGTGGTAAATAAAGAAAACAAACAATGAAAATAATAATAATTCTCTGATTGCAAATGAGAATTTAATAGCAGCATAATTTGTTTTCGGATAAATAAAACTTTTATTTAAAAATCGTGTTGGGGTATAAATAATTTTTTATTTTTTAATGTTAAATACTTTTTACAGTATATTTTTGTGACTAACCACTAATAACTTAAGTGACTAACCACAAATAACTTTTTAGTTTTAATAGTGAACTACAATGACATCTAATTGGTTATAAATAAGATTTCTTATTGTTTAACGTTTATAATAAAATATTGAATGTTTTAACTTTACAATAACTATTGAAACCAGATATTCAATCAATAGATAAAATACCTTTTTCTTACTTTGTGTTGTAGTCTGAAATAACTTTATAAATAATTATATACTAAGTTATAAATTATTAAAACAATATATAGTCTATAGGCTATAAACAAATAAATAGATGATAATCCATTTAACTACTATTACTAGAAACCATTGTAAAAAGGTTTTGTTTAATGCATAAGCTACTAATTTCAGGTCACTAAATCTTGTATTTCATCTCAAAAAATTAGGGTCCAGGGACTTCTTTGAAGAATTTTTAACACTGTGTATAATAAAAGCAGATAAGTTTATCTATCTTTCTTGCATGGTTTTTTTGATGTTATTGATTATATAGATTATTCATTTCGTTTCGTTGATTTCTGTGTTTAGTTTAGAATGTTTTCCAATGTGTGAATATAAAGTCATTTATGGTCTGCTTAAACTGATCACCATCTAGGAGATCACTTTATTTTATATGAAATATATATATATATATATATATATATATATATATATATATATATATATACATCTTTATAGTGTAGTCAGAAGAGACTTTTATGTTAAAAAAAATCTCTTTCGACTACAATTTTTCTGCCTCGATAATTAAGCTACATTTTATTGTCGTCGAAATGTCAAAGCAATAAAATTACTGCGGAAATACATTAAATTTTATTGTTTTTTAAAAAAACGCAATAATAATGGCAAGAAACGTTTTATTAAATAATGCTGTTTATGTTGTTGTTTTATTAATATATGTTTTTAAAACATGCACACTCGTTGATACATCAACTATTTTATAGCCTGCTGCTATATGGGAGTTTTGCTACATCGACTTACTTATAGCCTGACTTGCAACAGAGTGCTGCTACATCAACTTACAAATAGCCTGACTCGCAAAGGAGTGTTGTTACATCGACTGAGGGTTTGGTTTGTGCAGGCAGTCTATCATTTAAAAAAAAAAATTGTAAAAGTTTTTAATTGGTTTAATAAAATATTGAATGTTTTATACAAGATTTAGTGACCTGAAATTAGTAGCTTATGCATATATATATATATATATATGTATATATATATGCATATTTATATATATATATATATATATATATATATATATATATATATATATATATATATATATATATATATATATATATATATATATGTACAGGCCTTGTTTTAAAGCGTTACGCCTAGAGCGATTTACGTACGCCTTAAGCGCTTTTTACGTACGCGTAGAGCTGTTTTGGTTAAGCTACTTTTTATCATTTTTTAACTTTTAAATTAGCGGTAACATAAAAGAAGTAATTAATTTTCAAAAAACCACATTAACTTTTAAATAACGATATGTAAAGGTATTTATTAAAAAAAAGAATTTACTTTAAAATTAATTGTTGTAACTTTTCATCGCGATATATCTTTCCTTTTTATAGCAATTAATTTGACGCTAAACTTTTTATCCAAATATTTAGCAACATGAAAAATTGTTTGTCAATCCTTAACTACAAATTTTTTGCAATGCTTTTAATAAAAAGTAGTAAAGTTTTTAGTAAAAAACTTTTAAAAAATCTATATTCCATATTTATTAATACAGAATATAAAAGTTTTTTGTAATATAGATTTTTTATGAATTTTTTACTGAATTTATAATAAAAAACATTTGCAAAAAAATTTGTAATTAAGAATTGACATTTTTTAAATAAAATCTCAAAAAATGTCTTAATATTTTTGTTATCATGATAACAAAAATATCAAGACATTTTTTCGAGATGTTAAAAAAAATGTCTTTGCTTTTCTTATTAGTTTAATAGTATATAGCTTATAGTTAGTTTAATAGTATATAGCTTTTCTTATTAGTTTATTAGTATATAGTTTAAGTTATGCGGGGGGAGGGGGTCGGCACAGAAAAAAAAATTACCTGTTACTCGCAATATTTGAATGAAGACAATTTGTTAAAATTCTTCTGCGTGCGATTCAATAAGTTTTTTTTGTCATAAATCAAGTTATAATATAAGGTAAAGAAATCACGAGTAGACTACAACATCCGCTGATGACACTAATATTACGTTGAATATATTTATATAACGGAAGTTTTGTTATGCACGCGCACATTACAGGTTCCGTTAAATAAATACTAAGGCACGTTTTAGTTTAATGACAGTCTCCATTTTTTACTAATGAATATGTATTTTTTTTTATAAAACAAAACAAACTAGTATATAAAAACCTTGTATATTTCTATTATCTCTAAATTATTTAAAGTTCGAATATGGATTGTATTTTGAAGGACAAAAGATTTACTTTAAAAACTTTTAAATCTTGGGACTTTGCCGATGCGATGATCACAGAAAAAGAGAAGACTTACGTTATTAAAATCAAATGTAAGTTATGTGATCTTTATCAAAATAAAATATTATCCAAAAACAATAGTGCCGTAAGGGCAACTGCCCAACTTTCTTTGTGATTTGTTTAAAAAGTTAAATATTTTTACAATAACATAAAAAGTTTATGAATTAAATTCCTAGCGAACGCATTCTAAACTACGTATCAAAAATACGCTTCAAAGCAGACAAAACTTTTTTATATTTTTATAAAACGCAGGTTGAAACGCTTTTAAAAATTTAAAAAATATTTAAAAACTTAAATTTTTCTTTGCTAGTCAAAATAAAATCGTTGTTTAAATAATTAACATGGGTTTGTGTTTATCAATGTTAATATTTTTTGTTTACTCTAGAAATATTTTTAAAAATAAAAAAAATCATTATTATTTTTTATTCAATAACGATTAAAAACAATTATTCAAAAACAAATTTCAGAAATAATTAATATATATATATTTTTTTTTTTTTTCACTAAATAATATTGAACTAAAATTAATAATAAAATAATAATTGAAAACATTACAAAATTTTCATAATAAATTTATATTTAAAACGTTTATAGTTTATATTTGAGTTAATTTGAATTAGTTTGCGGTTATTTATTTATTGCGGTAGTTAAAACACTTAACGCCTATAAAAAAAAATAAAGATAATTTTATGACGTCAAAATCCCGTTAAGCTAATGCATTAAGCACTTTTTTATTTAAAACAAGGCCTGTATATATATATATATATATATATATATATATATATATATATATATATATATATATATATATATATATATATATATATATATATATATATGTAATATATGTAATATATATATATATGTAATATATATATATATATATATATATATATATATATATATATATATATATATATATATATATATATATATATATATATAATATATATATATATATATATATATATATTAGCCATTTTGAGAACATTTGAGTTTATGTACAAAACAAAAAAATTTTGTTTTACTGACATAAATGGAAACATGTATGTCAGTAAAACAAACCTTGCTATCTTTATCCTTGCCTGTAGTTTAAAGTTTGTTATTGCCTTTAGTTTTTTATCGCCTGTAGTTTAAAGTTTGTTATATTCTAGCTTTTTACTTATTTATGTTTACCGTTTCTGACAATTACATATAATTTTCATTTCAGTAGTTTCTGCATTTAGTTTGGAAGGCTTTCCAATCTGTGAATTTTAGGTCATTTATTGTCTGCTTGAACTGATCACCATCTAGGAGCTACCTTACAGGGTGTAAACTAGCCCTGTGGGGTCCCATCAAACGCGGTAATCCCAAATGCTCATAAAATTAAAATTCCCAATTTAAAAGTAAAAAAAATCCCATTCTCCAAATAAAGTTTCCCAAATCATAAATTAAAATTTATTGATATTTCTAAAAATAATGAAATTATGAAAATTAATTATTATTAAATACTAATAGAAAAGTAACATCAGAAATTCTAATTTATTAATTGTGTACAACTTGAAATAAAATCGCCGTTTTTGGTTTAACAACGCTATTGTATATATAAAATGTCTCTTGATAGGGTTGGAATTTTCCCAGCATCTTTAGGTTTTTTTTTCAGTAAAATTCATTTTTCAAAATTTGCAAATAATTCTTTGCAATGCCTTCCAACTACAACAAATATTATAAAAAAGGTTAGCAAGAAATAAAGTTCAATCTTAAAAAACCAACATATTTGTTTGGTTTAACACCTGCAAAAACTATTTCTTTTAAAGCTTTGCCCATTTTGGCTGAAAATTCAAATAACTGACTACATTTTACTGCAAACTCTACCTTAAATAGTGCCTGTGCTTCGTCAACAAAGATTTTTCAAAATATTGAGAAGCTGTTTACGTCATATACCTTCGAAGTTTTGATCAATGTCTTAGTTATTGTTTTTTTTATTGTTTGGTATTTAAAATCAACTAAATTAGGTGATCGCATCGACTATAATTTTATTTTACTTACCACCATCAGCTAAAATCATTTTTTACTCATTTACTAACATTTCTCAACAAACACCTATGAAATATAAATCTTTTATGATTATAACAAACTGGTCCAAGAAATTTATTTAGCGACGAAAATAGATTTCTTTACTTTATTGCTTGCATGCATTCAAAACGTAAACTAAATGCGTATAATAAAACGTAAACTAATAAATAATAAATAAATAATATATAATAGGTAAATTAAATAAAATAATTTATAAAAAAAAAGTTTAATAACAAGAAAGTTTCTTT